TTTGAAGAGTAGAGAACACATTCAAACTCGTTCTATGAGGCTAGCATTACCCTAATTCCAAAACCAGATTAGAATACAAGAAAATGATAGACCAAAATCTCTGATGAATATAGATGCAAAAGTTCTCAACAAAATATTAGGAAACCAAGTTAAAAAATACAGTGAAAAGATCACACACCACAATCGAGTGGGATGTATTCCAGGCATGCAAGAGTGGTTCAATATTCACAAATCAGTCACCATGCTACACTACATCAACAAAACAGAGAATAAAATGATATATTGATCTCAACAGATGCAGGAAAGAATTTAATAAAACTAAACATCCATTTATGATAAGAAGCTCTCAACACAGTGTGCACAGAAGGAACATACTTCAAAACAAGAAAGACTATATATGACAAAAACACAGTTAACATCATACTCAATAGTTAAAATCTGAAAGGACTTGTTCTCAGATCCAGAGCAAGACAGGATGGGAGATTAAAATAGCACCAGACTGAGTGGAAGGTACACTGACATTCTCCCGGGACCAAACTAGAATTACAACTAAAATATAGAAAAACCATCTTCAATAATCAACTGTAACTTAAGATGGGCTGGAGATCACCTTCAGAACCAAGGATCTAAAGTTGTGACCGCATAGACACTAGCAGGAAGTGTGGAGGCGCAAGAGGGTTGGCTGGACAGGCTTCCACAGGCAGCAGCTGAAGGTCCGGAGGGATATCTCAGCTGTGGGAGATTCCCACTGAAGACTCTGGGGTATAAACCCCAGGCTGGGCTTCCTGGCCAAGAGCACCAGACTAAGAAAGTTGCCCACAAAACATCTGGCTGTGAAAAGCAGCAGGGTTTCTGTCTGCCAGGGAGAGACTGCTGGAAATGCAGGCACCTTCTTAAAAAGCCAATACACAAAGTTTCATGTGCAGTCACTCACCTTGGGCACCAGCAGAGGAAAGGCAGAGTGGACTGGAGCTGCGTGAGAAGAATTGTGGTCTCTTCAAAGACTGAGAGTCTTAGCAGATCTGCCTAATACAAAGAAACAAACCCAAACAGGCAGACAAAATGGGGAGACAAAAAAACAAGCCCCAAATGAAAGAACAAGAGAAGTCTCCAGAAAAAAAGCTAAATGAAATGGAGATAAGCAATCTATCAGATATAGAGTTCAGAATACTGATTGTAAGGATGCTCAACAGCATGAATAAAAATATGGAAACTAGGACGGAAACTATGAATGACATAGCAGAAATAAAGAGTGCATTGGAAGGAATAAACAACAGATTAGAGGAAACTGAGGGTCAGATCAGTGAATTAGAAGATAGGGTAGAAAAAATCACTCAATCAGAGAGCCCCCCCCAAAAAAAACAATTAAAAAACAGGAGGACAGGGTAAGAGAGCTGTGGGACAACATGAAACATAACAATATTTGCACTATAGGAACACCAGAAGGGGAAGAGAATACACAAGGGATAGAGAATTAGTTTGAAGAAATGATGGCAGAAAAATTCCCTAGCCTGGTGAAGGAAAAAGTCACACAAGTTCAGGAGGCACAGAGAGTCTCAAGCAAGAAGAATCCAAAGAAGCCTACGCCCAGACATATCATAATTAAAATGTCAAAAATTCAAGACAAAGAGAGAATTTTAAAGGCAGCAAGAGAAAAGCAATCTGTTACCTACAAAGGAGCTCCCAGAAGGCTGTCAGCTGATCTCACCAGAAACTCTACAGGCCAGAAGGGAATGGCACGAAGTATTCAAGGTAATGCAAAGCAAGGATCTAAAACCAAGACTGCTCTATCCAGCAAGACTATCATTCAAGATAGATGACGGAATAAAGAGCTTCCCAGCCAAAAATAAAAGGCTACAGGAGTTTATCACCACCAAACCAGCATTGCAAGAACTGTTAAAGGACTTGGTGTAATTAGTAGAAGTAGAGAGAAAGAGAAACATGGGTATAAAGAATTAAAATAGCAATAGATAAGTATCTATCAATAATAACCTTAAATGTAAATAGATTAAATGCTCCAGTAAAAAAAACACATAGGGTCGCTGAATGGATAAGAAAACATGACCCAAATATATGCTGTCTACAAGAGACCCACCTCAAAACAAAAGATTCACACAGGGTGAGAGTAAAGGGATGGAAAAAATTTTCTATCCCAGTGGAAATGAAAAAAAAAGCTGGGGTAGCAATACTCATATCAGACAAAATAGATTTCAAAATGAAGATCATAACGAGAGACAAGAAAGGTCACTACATAATACTAAAGGGTTCAATCCAACAAGAGGATATAACCCTGATAAACATATATCCACTCAATATAAGAGCACCTAAATTTATAAAAAAACTTCTATAGGACTTTGAGGGAGTGATCAACAGCAGTACAGTCATACTAGGGGACTTTAACATCCCACTGATTTCACTGGATAGGACTTCTAGACAACAAATCAACAAAGAAACAGTGACTCTAAATGACACACTAGATCAGATAGATTTAATTGACATTAACAGAACATTCCACCCCAAAGCTGCAGAATATACATTCTTCTCAAGTTCACATCAGGAGATGAGTAGAGAAAAAAGCTATGGTACATTTACACCATGGAATACTATGCAGCTGTAAAAAAGAAGGATCTCTTATCCTTTGGGACGGCATGGAGAGAACTGGAGAGTATTATGCTTAGCGAAACAAGCCAGTCAGAGAAAGACAAGTACCACATGGTCTCACTCATATGTGTATTGTAATAAACAAAATAAACTGATGAACAAAATAGATCCAGAGACATAGAAGCATGGAACAGACTGAGGGATATCAGAGGAAAGGTGGGGTTGAGGGAGTGGATGGGGAGAGATTAATCAAAGAACTTAATATGCTTATAAAAATAAATAACCCATGGGCACAAACATTGGTATGGGGAAGGCCTGGAGATGGGGTGGATGCGGAATGGAGGGGATCAATGGGGGAAAAAGGGGGAAATCTGCAATACTTCCAATAATAAAGATAAATTTTTTTAAAAAAAGAACAAGACAAGATGCCCACTGTCACCACCTTTATTCAACATACTATTATAAGTCTTATTGGGGGAACACTTTGTAAACTATATGATTGTCTAACCACAATGCTGTACACCTGAAACTAATGCAAAATAAAGTTGAATGTAAAGTGTAATTGAAAACTAAAAAAAAGAAGTCCAAGCCACAGCAATCTGATAAGAAAAAGAAATAAAAGGCATTCAAATTGGAAAAAAATAAGTAAAACTGTCACTATTTATAGATATTATGATATTCTATATATAAAACCCTATAGACTCCACAAAAAAACTATTAGAACTAATAAATAAATTCAGTAACATTGCAGGATACAAAATTAATATACCAAAATTTGTTGTTTTTATACACGGGTTTGCAAAAGTAGGTTTATAGTTGTTTGTATGGAAAAAGACATGTAGGTTATGATTATTACAATAACTTTATTAACTCAAAAGAATGTCACTAATGGAACTGTAAACCTACTTTTGCCCACCCCTGTATATTAATATATGAACTATTAGATAAATGAAGAAAAAATCCATTTACAACTGCATCAAAAAAATCAAGTACCTAAAGATTAACTTAACCAAGAAGGTAAAAGGCCTGTACTCAAAACACTCTAATATATTCACACAAAAAATGAAGTCAACACAAATAAATGCAAGAATATTCTGTGTTCATGGACTGGAAGAATTAATATTGTTAAAATTTCTATACTGCTCAAAGTGATATACAGATTCTATACAATTCCTATGAAAATATCAATGGACCTTTTCAAAGTACTTGAAAAAATAACCTTAAATTAATATGGAACCCCAAAAGACTACAAATATCCAAAGAAATCTTGAAAAAAGAACAAAGCTGGAGGTATCATGCTTCCTCACTTCAAAGTATACTACAAAACTAGAGTAATCAAAATAATGTGGTACTGGCACAAAAACAAACACATAGATGACTGGAACAGTATATAGATCCCAGAAATAAACCCAGGCTTATATAGTCAATTAATCTATGACAAAGGAAGCAAGAATATACAGTGGGAAAAGAATCTCTTCAATAAATAGTGTTGAGAAAACTGGGCAGCAACTTGCAAAAAAATGAAACTAGACCACTTTCTTATACTATATAAATAATAAATTTAAAATGTATTAATAGTAGACCATACACCATAAAATTTCAAGAAGAAAACACAGGCAATAAACTCTTTTACACTGGCCTATGTAATATTTTCTTAGATATGTCTCCCCAGTCAAAAACAACAAAAGCAAAAATATGCATTATATAAAACTAACAAGGTTTTGCACAATGAAGGAAAGCATTGACAAAATGAAAAGTCAACCCACTGAATGGGAGAAAATATTTGCAAATAATATACTCAGTAAAGAGTTAGTATAAAATATATATTAAGAACTCATAAAATTCAACATAAAAAAAAAACCAATCTAATTAAAAATGAACAGAGGGTCTGAATAGACATTCTTCCAAAAAAGACATAGATAGCCATCAGATACATGAAAAGATACTCAACATCACTAATCAAATCAAAACCACAGTGAAATATTACCTCACACCTGTCAGATTGGCTGTTATAAAAAATAAATAAGTGTTGGCAAGGAGTTCCCCCGTACACTCCTGGATGAATTGCAAACTGGTACAGCCATTATGGGAAAAAAAACCCAATAATTTGAAAAGACGTGTACATACATTATGTGCAGGTTTACCTAACATTTCTGAATTTTGAATTTGTCACCTACCAAATGGGTACAATTTTTTCCTGAAAGGTTTACTGTGGAGATTAAATAGAATTAGGGCAGACAACTTGTAGAGTTCCTGAGACAGAGCTGGTTATTTTCTTAAGAATGTTGGTGAATATGCATAACCGTGCTTATAGGTAAGATTATTCTGGCAGGGATCAAATTTCAGTATTGCTAAGACTCATAAAAATAGAACAACCCTTGTCACCATATTAATATTACCTGGGGAAGGTTTATGTCCAAATATGCCATTGAAGAATGCAGGCATTCGAATGCTGCCACCAATATCAGAGCCCACACCAATCACGGAGCATGCTGCTGCCAGGGTACAACCTTCACCACCTATAGGAAATGCAAAATATTCCTTTATAATAAACAAATTAAACTACTATTTTCATGGAATATATTTTATCCTCTTTGATTTTTAACCTTTCTGAGTCTTTAGATTGAAAGTGAGTCTCTTATAGACAGCATATATTTGAATCATGACTTTAATCCATTATGCCAATCTATGTCTTTTGATTCAGGAGATTAATCCTTTTATATTAGATGTAACATAAAAGCAGGAAGGTCTTACTTATAACTTTTTGGGTTTTATTTTTTGTATGTCTTAGTTTTTGGTCCTTTGTTGTCTTCATTACTGACTTCCTTTGTGTGTAGTTCACTTTTGTAAGGACACTTTATGTTTCTCTTCCCATTCCCTAGTTTGTATATTTTACAGATGTTTTCTTTGTAGGTAACATGGAATTACAAATACCATCTGTTATATCTATCTATCTAGTCTGTATATTATGATGTTTTGCCATCTTAAAAAACATTCTGATCAAAGATTGTCCCTCCCTGGGCTAGTCAATTCTTAAAGATAGCAAATGGCCTGTCCATAAGCATGCCTTTTATGCAAAATAACCAATCCGGAGCCATACAGCCTCTACCTTGAGGCACCACAGGAGGTATTACTCCTCTACCTCTATCATCTCAGGGCCAGGTACAAGGCAAATAGAGATCACTCCTATAGTCCAAAGCCCTCTGAATTTATTCAAACTAGTCAATCCTAAATTGTTTACCCTGGCCTGCCTTTCCTTTCCTACAGAAACCCAATAGAGACCGTGGCTTAAGAATTCCCCCTGCTCCTGTCTTCTGCCTCCTGAACACCCTGGTCTTGTGGCTGCATGTGACTGACCATCTCATAAAAGAATACAAAACAACATCCTAAAGTTGCAACAATCTATTATAAATATATGCCAACTCAACTTCAATTGCATACTAAAACTATGTTTTTATGCACCTCCCTCTCCTCCACTTACTTTAACCAATTCCATATATATTGAGACTTATCATTATTTTTATACATGTCTTTTAAATATTGTATAAAATAAAAAGTTGATTTTCAAACCAAAATTAAATTAATACTGGTTATATTTGCTTATGTATTTACCTTTACCACAGATCTTTATAGTCACAGGGCTTTGAGTTACTCTCTAGTGTCCTGCCCTTTCACTACATTAAAACATTTTTTAAAAATATGTCTTTATTGGTTTTTAGAGAGGAATGGAGAGGGATGGAAAGAGAGAAACATTGATAAGAGAGAAACATCATCAATCGGCTGTCTCCTGCACGCCCCCTACCAGGGATCGAGCCCAAGACCCTGGCATGTGCCCTAAACAGGAATCAAACTGTGACCTCTTTGGTTTATGGGTCTATGCTCAACCACTGAGCCACGCCAGCTAGGCAACATTTTACAAGTTGAGGACACTGACTCCCTGACTCCCTTCATTATGTTACCAACGTCACATAGCAAAAAACTGTCAATGTTCTCTTTGGCTCTAGCAACCACAATCTTAAACACCATATTTTGCTAACCCACATATATATGCCTTAAGGATAGATAAAAGTCATGTAAATTCTAGTCTCTAATATACTCTCTGATGTTTTCCTCCTATATCACTTGTTGCTCATTCTTAATTTCCTTTGTTAGATATGTCTTCTCTTTTTAACCTTGAAAATGACAAAGCTCTGTCATGAGCCCCAGTTCATCTCCATCAACGCACACACACATTTGTTTTTTTTCCCATCCATTCTTACAGGTTATAGATTAGATACTGTACCACGTTTATGATGACAACTTCTAAATTATTTTAAACCCAGGTTATTACTCTAACTCATATAGGCCAACACCAATGGGTGTCTTACAAATATCTTAAACGTAACATGTTCAAAGTGGTATTCCTAAATCATGCTGTCCCCCCGTTTATCCCTCCCCTTCCCGTTTTCTCCATCTGAATGAATGACTGTACATCTTTCGAGTCAGAAACCCTGTGAATTTTTACTTCTCTTTTTACCTTTACACCCACCTCTCCATTACCAACCTATCATCAAGTCATGTTCCAGTCTACCTTTAAGATATATCTTGTGTCCCATCTATTTTTCTTCATCTACACAAACACTAGTTGAAGTCACTATCATTTATCTCTTGGACAACCAAAATAGACTTCTAATTTCTCTATTTGCTTCAGCTTTTGTTCCTCTACATTATGTGACCTGGACAAAACTTTTTAATTTCATCACTAACTCCTCTCTGTCTTACTCACTACACTGGGTTTTTTTCAGTTCACTGAACACACTAAGCATGTTCCCACCTCAGGCTTTTGCATTTTCTGTATTCTCTAACTAGAATGCTTTCTGCTTGACCCACTACCCCCACACCCACTGAGTGGTTAGCTGTCTCTGGTCCTTTGGATTTCATCATAAATACCACCTTCTTAGAGAGGATTTCCATGACCATATCTGCTATATTCCTGCATTAGCACAGTTTCTAGTACATCGCAGTTATCAGAGCTCAGTGTCCTTACATTATTTTATCACCTTTGTCTCAAGAAGATATAAGTGTTCAGCTAAACCACTTTCACTCTCACATTCTCTCTCTCTCTCTCTCTCTCTCTCCCTCCCTCTTCCCTTCTCCTTGAGTGCATGCATGCACACACACACACACACACACACACACACACACACACACACACACACGGGGACCAAGAGTATCGATGCTCATTGTCTACAATGCTCTTCACCAATCTCTGACAAATTTTGCAATTGCCTTAACCATAAACACCTAATTATGACTTTCCAAGAGATTTGTGCAATAGTATTTGTACCCCCTCCTTGCAGTGACTCACTAACTGAAATGTTAAACTCACCAGAACTTCCACCTACAATATGCCGTAAATCATATGGGTTGTTGGATCGGCCATAGATCTTGTTACTGGATTCATACCACATGCACAGCTCACTACAGTTGGTTATGCCAAGAGGAATGGCACCAGCTTCCTTCAGAAATGCCACTACAGTGGCATCTGTTTTGGAAATGGCATTCCGACGATTCACAAGGCCAGAAGAATTAGGCATTCCTGTAAAGTCCACAAGAAAAGGAAATTAAGATGTTATTAAATAAAAATGGGAACAATTTACTGAGTGCCTTCAATGAACCAACCCAGTTATTGTGTATGATTTTCTTAGTACTGATAGGTGGTACGACTTATTGGAAAGTGTACAGGCTTTGGAATCATAACTAAGTTCAAATCACATTTCTGTACCTTACCAATTCTACGGACTTTGGGAAAATCACTTAACTTTTCTGATTCTCAGTTTTTATAGGAATAAATGAGATATTGAATGTAAAGTATGTGAACATATTTAGTAAATAAAAGTAATTATTACAAATTCTGCCACTCAATAACCCTAACTGTTAAGAATTGTATTACAGAGAAAGTACAGGCTTTTATTAGAGTCCTAGATTAGTTTTAGTCAAGCTACTTTAGTGTCATGAGCTTCAAATTTTTACTTGAAAAATGAGATAATAATACTATTCTTATAGTCTGCTTTGAGGATTAATGGGCACTGAGCATAGCTCCTTATATGCCATATAGTTCTAAGAGATGATGGTCATTATTGTCTCTCTTCCCAATGAAACTTGCAGAGTATTTCCCATCAATTCAAAACTGAAGAAAAACCTTACATTAGTCATCTACTTTGGTAATATATTTTTTCTGTTTATAACTTCAGCAAATATATGCCATTCGTGAGTTCAACCCATGCATCTAAAGAAAGTAAATACAAAGAACAGTACCTTGTAGCTGGAAAGCTTCTTTGACTGTCAAAGGAACCCCAAGGAAGGGCCATTTCTTTTCCAGGGTGGCATCATCTTCCTGCTTCTCTGCAAGCTTTTTATCTACAGCATGAGCCTCCTTCTTAGCTACCTCAAACCTAGGAAAAGTGAAACAGAGCTACATAAAGCTGTGGACAGTGAGAAAGAAGATACCTTCTAAGAAGGGCTCCTGGTTGCTGAGCTCAAAATTTAAAAACAGAGCTTAGCAGCCATTTCTGCACAGGGACCTCTCACACAAACTCTACTTTACAGATAAACCTGCACTGAACTACGTGCCTCAGTGCTACCTGACTAAACTGTTTTACTGAACTGTGTTTCTGACATCTGAGCCAGCCCTTGCAGAGGAGTTCCTGGAATCCTACTTCAACCAATAGGACAGAGACTATCCCCATGCAATCAGAGCCCAGCAGCTATATCCTTATCAGCATTTTCACTGACTAATCACAGAGGCTCCATTCTGACCAATGAAGGTAGTGCTTTTTTGGACCAATCAAACTGCAAGGATTTGGAGTCTTCATTTGTATAAGGACCAGGAATGGGCACTACTGACTGTAAGTCAGCTTCTCTCTAGCTCTTGAAGCACACTTTTCCTTTCCACTGAAAACTGAAGACTGTATTTCATTGGCTGCAGCTGAAACACCAAAGATGGAACACCAAATACAGTGTGTCCCAAAAAAATGTACACACACACTTTGAATAATTATAAAAGCGGTGTTTATTAAAATACGTTGCATTTTCTTTCTTCTTTTTAGAAATTTGAGCAAAGAAAACACTAATCTTACACAAACTTTATTGGAGAAGAGTGAAGAAGGTAACACTTCTAAACTCATTTTCTGAGGTCAGTATTGTCTGAATATCAAGACCTGGCAAAGCCATTCCAAAAAAAGACAATTACAGATCAATACCCTTTATGAATACAATACTTAAATGGTGAGATATGTCCAAAGATAGAACAAAAGTAGTTGAAATTTTTCTGGAGATAGTCAGTTCAATATATGGAGAAGCCAAAACTAGGAAAAGAAGAAATGGTTGTCAGGTGCAAGATATAAAAACAAATCGAGATTAAAACATTAATGAGCTGTTAAAGTGTGAATACATTCTTTGGGGACATCCTGTATATCTCACCGCAGCAGAGCACAGCAGACCAGTGTAGAAGCATAGCAGAGCAGACCAAAACAGGGCAGAGTGAAACCAGACTGGACCACACTGGAATAGAGCAGACCAGACCGGACCAGAGCAGAGCTGTCAAGCCAGAGAGGTGCCTGGTCCCAGGGCTGCCTCACAGCCATACTGTCCTGCTTCATAACTGAGCTGTAACATACTATCGAGCTGCTCCACAGCCATGATGTTCTCACAGCCATACTGTATCACAACTGAGCTGTTTGCACTGAATAAAGTTTTCCTCTTCACTGTACCCCAAACTCGGGATCCCTATTGGCGTTGAATTGGTGTCACTGACCGTTGGTTGACAAACCACATAAAATAGCCATCTACCCAAATTTATTGAAAGAACGAGGGTTGACATGTTGAAATAAATATACTTGTCAAGATACTTATAAAGTTGACCCTTTGAGCCAGTAATTCTTCTTTTAGAAATTCATCTAAAGTACAGTGATCCCACGTACTAACAAAATACAAACAGAAAGATGGTCAGTGAATCGTTATTTGTATTAGAAAAAATGTGAAAGTAACCAATCACCAAATAAATTATTGTAGGTATCTATTATGGAAAACTGTAGTAAAAAACAGTGATGTTTTCTAAAAGTTTTTATTGTTTTTTGGAAGTTCTTATGATGTAAACTGTTTAATTTAAAAGAAAAGAGGTTACAATGTTATGTTTCTAATCTCAGTAATGTGAAAAATATACATATATTTGAAAGCAAACCAAATGTTAACAATGCATAACCACTTTTTGGTGCTAAGATTATCAGCAAATTATTTTATTATTTTCTGTCTTTTGCAAATGCTCTAAAATAAGGATATATTACAAGAATGCTCAAAAGCACAGAATTAAATCAATATGCCTAAAATAACACAGTTTGAGTATATGTGGTAATACAGTCCCTAAATTATATGATGCCAATAGGATTGCTCAGTATCACAAACAGTAATTCTTCAAAACAGTAATTCTTCAATTCTTAAATCCTCTAAATAAACTGTCATGTGACTTAAAAAATAACTTCAATAATGGAGTAAGGACAGTCTCTTCAATAAGTGGTGCTGGGAAAATTGGACAGACATATGCAAAAGAATGAAACTAGACCACCAACTTTCACCATATACAAAAATAAACTCAAAATGGATAAAAGACTTAAATGTAAGTCACGAAACCATAAAAATCCTGGAAGAAATCATAGGCAATAAAGTCACAGACATGCCACGTAGTGGACTTTTCACTGATACATCTCCTAGGGCAAGAGAAACAAAAGAAAAAATAAGCCTATGGGACTACATCAAACTAAAAATCTTCTGCACAGCAAAAGAAAACAGCCTCAAAATACAAAGGAGCCCCACGGTCTGGGAAAACATATTTGCCAAGGATGAATCTGATAAAGGGTTAATTTCCAAAGTGTACAAAGGACTCATAGCACTCAGCAA